CCGGGGACACCCTCGTGCGTGGAGCCAGGGAGCGGAAGGGGCCGCTGTGCCCGGCGCCTGGAGGGGTGTTTGCTGTGGATGGGACGGGGCGGGCTGGGAGGTGCACTGGGACTTCCACACAGCCACGTTTGTACTTCCCAGCCGGCTGGGTTTTTTCTGCCCTCCCCCTGCTGTTTCTGTGCGCGTAGGTGTGCGGACGTAAACCGAAGCAGAGTCAGGGCTGGTAGCAGGTTGCCGTCGTAACACAATCCTTTCTTAGCTTCTGTTTTGGTTGCAATTTTCGATGTCAGGCCAATTTTGGGAGGGGAAATTGGGAGTTTTGGGCGAGGGGGGGTCAGGAGCTGGCAGGTGAAATTCTCAGGCCGGAGTGTGCGGGGGTTTCTGAGAGTGGTGCTGGAGCAGAGGGTTGTTCTGGTGAGGCTCAACGGGAAAGAAAACGGTTCTCGTGAGCTGCCGGTGGCTCTGCTGCGGGCACGGCAGCGGGTGCGCGCTGCCCGCGCGGCGCAGGCGCAGGGCAGGCGTTACAAGCGCGTGCGCCTGCACGGACGGGCTGCCGCTGGCTGTTTTCGCTGCCCCCCGCTTGACTTCGAGCAGAGCCGGCGGCAGCGTTCAGTCGGCTTCTCCGCCTTCGGCACGGAGGTTTTGCTTCCTCGGGACCTGGGGCCTGCTTTGCTTCTCGCTCCCGTTCCCGTCCGTCCCGTGTGGGCCGTAGCTGGGCACCTGGGAGCCCGTTTCTCAGGATTAGGCAGGAGGTGTTTGGAGCGTAACCCCCCCCCACCACCTCGTGTGTTCAAAGGAAACTCGTTTATTGTCCAGTTCAGAGGTTATTTGGTCTGAAGTTTAAAGTGGGTTTCTAATTCAGCTACGCACTAGATCCAAATCCAGCTTAAATGTAAGCGACTTTGAAGCATAACCCTCACTATTAGGCTTGATTTTCCCATGGCTTTTAGCTGCCCAAGGAAGCAGATTAAGTATTTCGCAGGCTTCCAGAGGTGCCTCAGGGTAAGTCCACAGAAAGCCTCGGATGCGCAGCGCCCCGGTGCCTGCCG